ACATTTTCCATAAAATTATTTAATAGCTGCTCTAAGTACTTTTTTGGGGGTGGGGGGGTATGTGCCCCTAGCAGGAACTGAACCTGGGACTCTCTGGTCTGCAGGCCGATGCTCCAACAGCTGAACCAAACCAGCCAGGGCTGCTCTAAGTACTTTTGTTATTTTCTAGAGACGTGCTCTTCTTTGAGGTATAAGGGTCTTTTAAAACTACTGGTCCTCAAGTCACAATATTGAAGACTTCAGCTCTTGGGTGGCTTAGGAATGGTTAAGAAAATATAGCTCCCGACTTGAAACAGTCTGTCATGGTGCAAACAAGGGCTATATAAAAATGAACAGAAAGCACAGGTAAAGAGGAGGGATCTAGAAATGTACTCCTTGATGAGGAGAACTGGAAACTTTCACACAGAAAATATGTTTGTGAGTTTACAAGAACTTTCAGCCTAAAAGACTTCTACAAAACTAAATTCGAGGAATCTAAAATCTCATCACAATTTTAAAGGGTATTTAAAATACCCTTTAGATGGAGGCATTAGTGGAAGGTATTTTCAGGACATCCACCTCCAGTACTTAAGGGATTTGTGCACTTTGTATGAGAAAAAAACAGGCAAGAGAAGAACTACAGAAGTAAAAATACAGTCCCAGGAAATGGTTTGACCAGGGCAGAAAAGTTCTCTTCTTTGAGGTTTGACTTTCGAGCTGAAGCAGATGGCCAAGACCTGCCATTATTCAGATACCACGCAGGTGTGACCAGCGGCGTCTTCTACTAAGAGAGATCAGAATTTTGACATTGAATGGATTAACATACTTCATACGCATAAATAGCTTAAATAAATTAATCAATATTACTTAGTCTTATTTAATCTGTCACTTAGTTTGTAATCAGTAAATATAGTACATACTTTTCAAACAGCAAATACGTAGAAATTAAACCCCTCTATTGATAACCTAAAGCATAAAATCAGGTGTGAACACAAATATTCACCAGGTTTCACGAATGCAGACATCCTATCCTTCCAAGAAAACCCTGATTAACAGTGTTTCTAGTTGGTATGAAGGGTGTTCAATTGCTCACTAGCTGTATGTGTATTGACAATCACACATATGTTCTACTCATTTTTCCTGTCATTAAACTCTCATAACTCATTTAATTGGGATCTCTCTCTCCCCCTTCCTTTCTTCCTCCTTCTCTCCCTCCCTTCCTCCCCCCCTCCCAGCTTTTGTCCACTATAATTTGTCCATATGTCAATTTATAGAAAATGTCCCATGTCTATTCATTTCCTTTTGTCTTTTGTATAAGACATGATAGAAGGTTTCTCTTGGGGACTCTGACCCATTGAAATCACACATAATTAGGCCTGGGACCAACTTAAAAGGTGCAGGCATTAAAAGTACTGCTCTAGAATAGTTTCGATGTTCGGTAGTCCAGCGAATTGCTTTAGTGCTAAAGTTGCCTGAAAAACTATACTTATAATTGATTGTTTTCTGATTTTTCCAAATTCATAAAGTGCTGCTGTACTTAAAAGAATGATTGAAAGAGCATTTATTAGGGTTTCTCAGTCTCCTTGGACAAGTATATCTCATGCATTTTCTATGTCAATCGTGTCTATTAATTTATGCTTTTTCCCTAACGAGGAGTCTTTGCTGAAATGAGTAAGATATAGCTGATACGAAGAGCAGTACATTTTTGGTATTTCATGTTGTGCATGAAGAAACAGAGGCACAGAGAAGTCAAAGGCAGGTGGTGTGATCCCCTGGTGCCCAGAACAGATCTTTAGCAAATACCTATGTTTGGCATGTATCTGGATCAACCTTGAACATCATATAAAATAGAGGTGTATTTTTAAATATATGTACCAAACTTTAATTTTCATTTCACACCCAAAACTTCTGTACAAAAAGAGGCAAAGCAGGCAAAAAAATTACAATGACCTTAGCAAACAACATATGACAATTTTAAACCAGCTTTATAGATGTAGGGGAACAACTGAGCTTCAAAGTGTTTGTTTCTTTAAGATGAAATTCCAATATTTATTGTCAGCATCTAGAAAACTCACAGCTGTCTAGGATACAAGACTGAATGAGAAGTCTCTGAATTCTACTGGGCAATTGGATCCAAAAATTGAGTAGTTTCTATTTGTCTTTTGCGACAGCGTGACATTTTTACTTCAACGTGATGCTGTATCAAAAAGTTCAGTTTCCCATTGATAGCTTGATATAATGGTGACGACTAGGAGCAAACTTTGATGAAGTATGATATTCACTAATAGTGAAAAGAGAGTATCCAAGACTTTCTTTCTGGTTGTTGATGAATATGTCCGCCTGAAGAGGTCACCACAATTCAAACATTTATTGCCACTTGTTTTTTTTTTTTACTATGAAGTCCTTGCGGTACATGAAAGGTTTCTGAGAACAAAGGTATAATGCCAAAATAGCAGTGGATCTGAGAAATGTAATTTTAATTTTGTCGCTTGCCCCCACAAATAAATATGTGAGTACTGGAAAACACTGTGTACTTGGAGACTGTGAGACATCAGATATGAACTATAGTTGACACTGACATGGATACTGTCGCCAGCACTTTCCCCTAAACCACCCGCAGTCTGGACGTGCGCGCACACAGCAGGAAAACCACATTGTTCGGGGACTCCTGATGCCTACAGGACAGACTGTTAAAAGAATTTGTCTCCCACAATAGCTCTGGAGTGGACCCAAGGCCCATCCCCTGTTCGTGATCACAGACATTCAGTTAACCTGTCTTCCTGATATTCAGAGGCAACAGTTGAGACCCTGGGCTTCTGAGAATCCAGACTAGTGAATGAATCTTGGCTTTAAGACAAGACGACCTGGCTACATCGGGGCAGGCCCTCCCTTATGTTTGGTCCCTTTGGATAGAAAGTCTATTAAACATTATACACGTGCTCAACTGTTTGCCCTGCGAGGCCATTCCTCTCCCGAGGCTTAATCTCCTTCCCTGGTGATGGAGGGAAACGACCCAGGGATGATAAACGCTTCATGCCCCTGTATTTCTGGTCTTGCCAGTTGTCACCCCAGGATAACATGTGGCTGCCAGAGAGAACTTTTCTTAAGCAGAATATTTAATGAATTTGTTCACCCCCTGTGACCCCATTTTCTGGTTTTCTCTGGGATTCCAGAACCCCTCGTCTTGGGAAGGTCCTGAAGGCCATCCAGTGCATTTCTGTTCTGGTGGGAGCCATCCACCCAGGCAGCTGCCCTGGGTCAGCTTGAAAAGCTTGAGGAACAGGGCCTTTCCCCTCTCTGCTGACTGACATCTACATAAAGACCCTGGCCCTGGCCGGTTTGGCTCAGCGGTTGGAGCGTCGGCCTGTGGTCCCGAGAGACCCGGGTTCGGTTCCCGCTAAGGGCATGTACCTCGGTTGCAGTTTGTCCCTGGCCCTGGTTGGGTCGTGCATGTGGCAGCCACTCGATGTGTCCCTTTCACATCGATGTTTCTCTCTCTCTTCCTCTCTCTCCCTTCCACTCTATCTGAACAACAACAAAAAAGTATCATAGATACAGACCACGGAAACCGTTCTGCCACTTGGCTGGATTTCTTTGTTAAAAATTAAACAAAACAAATGTATGTCTCCCCTTCTCTTGGAGGACTCGCGGGAATGCCAGCCGGCCACTAACGCCTGAAAAGCAGTAGTGTGACGGCTCACTTCTCGGGACATTGTGAATGACACCAAGCTCTAATGTACCCAGACTCGTCTGCTGGAATGACCACTCACGGGGTAACTCTTCCCGTCCACCAGAAATAGGGATGTGATTATACCGGCCAGATTGAGGGGTGGTTTTACAGTGTCCAGTCTTATCCCATAGCAGGTATGCATAGGCCACATGGTGAGGAGTGACGAGCACGCAGTCAGGAGCGAGGCATCCCGGGTTCTAGTCCTACAGTGGGGCAGGGGGTCCTGACTGACTTCACCCTCTGTCTCATTCTTTTCCACTGGAGATCAGATTTCCACGATTTCCTTCTAAGCTCAGATCTTCAGGCAGAATGACTCTAGGCCTTGTCATACCATCAGTCATGAAGATAAGGCAGGATGATGCTTGCTGGACTCTATTTACGAAGGAAGAATGTGGGAGTCAGTTGTTTTAAAGACCGAGAGCCTTAGAGGGCTCTAGGGGACTGTCTGTTTTCAATGTCTGTTTTCAAGATGAGAAAGGCGAGACCCAGAGCTTACGTGAATTTCCCGAGATTACACCGTGAATCAATAGGGCTAGAACCAAGTCCAGGAACTCGGTCCAGGCTCTGCACCCTGCAGCAAGCTAGCAGTGGGGTCAGGGAAGAGCTGGCTGTATTTTAAAGACCAGGTAACCAGAAATCGTAGATTCCCACCCCCTCCAAGTTCCCCCCCCCTTTTCTGGTAACTAATGCGTTACCCCAGAACTCTATCCGTCATACGAATGGTCCATGAGAACAAGGCTCCTACGAGGAGAGGCTGTGTGCTCAGCACCGTGCGAACAACTGGCATGTCCGCAACGTACCCACAACTTCAAAGCCAGAGCTCCAGCTCCTCGTCCCTGCGGACACAGGCTAGAAGCGGAGATGACTGTCCGGTTGCCTGCGTGCCCCTCCTCGCAACTTCTCCCCCACTTCCAAGACAACCACGGTCAGCAGCACCTATCGATTCTTGCTTCTCTTCGCTAACTGACTCAAACGCAGGCAATTTTCCTCCTGCAAAACTCAAAGGGCACTTTAGAGGAACCGAAATCCAGCCGGAAAGGGACACGCTGATGACGAACACGCGTGCGGACAGAAAGATGGCACGTGTGGTCTGCAGTCTCGGGACAGGGGGCGGGGTGCTGACTTCCACACTCGGGCCGGAGCCCCGACGTGAGCTTTCCTTTTTCTGGACCCTCTCTCCCTCTCCGTCGTGTTTCTTGTAGCTGAGCCGACACAGAAAATCAAATACTTTGTGTTTCTCTAACTATACTTCCCAGAGAGATTTCACATCTAGCATTTAAACACTACCACGAACTATTAGCAATTGCGGGTTGTTACAGGTGTAGTTAAAGGACCCCAGGGGCAAAGTTCAACGTCTCCAAGTTCTGCCTTTGGAGGAGGGGTTCTGTCTCAGACATCAAAGGTAAGGCTCTCAATCAACTTATGCTCTGCTGGGTTGAGTCAGTGAGGATACAAATGAAGGTCCGTATATTTCAGTGACAAGAAGGAAACGGTTATGTAAATACACAGGTCTTAACATCAATCTGTATTAAATTATGTAAACATATACATCTTCTGAGGTCAGTACAGAGATCCTCTTCTCGGAGCGGAGCTTACTGGAGCATTGCTCGAATCTGTTTGGACGTCGATTCATCATTCAAGTGCTTTGTAGTGAACCTGGATGGAGAGAAAATGACGGCGTTTACTGTGCAAATAATGCTCTGCGAAGCGTCAATAACGACCCGCCAAGCCCATCTTTGCACGGGGAGACACAAATGATGTTTATAAATCAAACGCAGGCTTGGTCCTTTCGACGGAGAGCCACATTCCAGTGCCCTGAGTATTCTCATACAGATTGCATATCTGATTCTTCCCTCCACAGGAATCGTGTATTACGTTTATTAAGCAAACAGATCAAATGATCAAATAATGACAGAGCAGCTATTAAGCAGTTTCATCTTGCGGGGAGGTGGACTTCACATGATCGGGTGCGGAATCTTGGCCATCTAGGCCATCCCCGCTAAGCCACGGATTTCATTCAAAATAAGGATTCGCACAGCAACATAGCAGCACGGAAGACATTTCTAGTTTTCTACCCTGCAGGCAACACATCCTCACTGACACCACCAGGGGGCACGCACGGAGGGGAACGAATTAAAACACATTTTTAAAAAAGCGTTGCCATCTGCATCCACACATGAACCTGGAGCAGACACAGCTCATGAAAAGGGAGGAAAGGAGAAGTAACATGCAATAAAACCCTGACCACGTCCTAGGCTCTCCATGCGAGTCCTCATTTCACTCACACCAACTCTTCGCAAGAGAGGTTATTTGCCTCGTTTTGCTGATATCAGAACTGAGACCTAGAGGGGTTAAAACGCCCCACTGCAGGCCACAGAGAGGGCCACGAAGGATCTGTGGACAATTTGGATCTGGGTCTGGCTGCCTCAGAAGCTGTGCTCCCTCCCTTGAGCCCAGTGCCCAGGGGACCCGCCGCCTGCCACAGAGCCCTGCTCCAGAAGTCTTGCTTGAGTGAATGAAGCGAAGAGTTAGAACTCCAGTAGCTAAGTCTCCTTACTGAGACGGAAAGCTGGCCTGCTGTGAAATGGGTACCACTGGGGACACCTTGGTTGACCCACAGAATCCGGAAGGCTCTTATATTAATTCTACAACTGTTTTGAACAATGACGATGTAGAAGTGCCACATAACAGGATCAGTCTCAGCGTCTAGTTCATTCATGTCATGGGCATCTCAGCTCCTTCATATACCGAATGAGGATAATAGGTGAGCCTTACATCTCTGCATTGTGATGATGAAGTGAAACAGTGTGACTGGGTGTGGCGTGTAAGACTTAAGTGTTGTACGCAGGTGGAATATTACTGATCCATCCTGACTCTTGGGAAGCTGCTTTGTCTGATGACCACAAAGCAGTGTGGCCGGGAGTTAGGCCCACGACCTGGGGAGTCACCCAGACCCGGGTTTAGGTCCTAGTTTAGCCATCTGTTGTGTAACTTTTGGCAAGTTATTCGACTTTTCTAAATCTTGGTTTCTTCCACCTGTATAAAAAGGAGATGATAAAAATGGTGCTGACCTTAACAGGTTGTTGGGAAGAGACACTGTGTTAAAATATGCAAAGGGCTAAGCCTGGTACCCAGCTCTCAACCGCTAACAGCATCCCTGTTTGCAAAGGATCAGAAAAGTCGGCTGCCCTTGGCATGTCTCCCACGGGGCAGAGGCTCACCTGAGGGCATTCAGCAACCCCTCCACACTGTCCGGGGCCTGTTCCTTCAAAACCTTTATGCAGCCTTTCATCTGGGAGGAGAAAACACAGCATTTTGTTCATATCCTAGTAATTCTGTCCAAAATAATATCTTTCCACTATAATATTTGTCCATAATAATGTCACATTATTCCTGCTCATAGAAATGAAACACAGAAATGACCCACAGACCTTCTTCTTCCCCTGCCAGAGAGTTGCATCTCTGGTGTTCTAGAAGGTTCTACATCAGTTGTTATACGATACTGCAGTCGAACACTTTGCACATCTGGCATTTGGGGACAAAGACTGGAGCCTTGGATCTTCTTGTCTTACACTCCACGGCCAACTACACAGCTTTTCCTCCAGCAGGTACTCCGTGGAGACTGAATGGATTACAGACTTAACTACTTTATCCCACCCCTCTGCCCAGAATGCTTTTCCTCTCTGTCGGTGTTTGGGAAACCCTAAACAAGTTTTTCAGGATTCAGATGAAGCTCACTAACACCAGGAAGCCTCCTCTGCCGGCACTGCAGAGTCACTATCACCTTCTTGCATTTGCATACATACATTGGCATTTAGAGAACCTTGGAGATGTGAATGCCCGTGTTAATTTGTCTTCCTCATCAGACCGGGGAGGACTGGGAAAGAACAGTGGTTAGGGATGTGGACCAATGGAGGTACAATGACTGGTTTCATCCATGCTGGCCTGTTTAATGTCTTCGTGAACCTAAAGTTTCTTAGCTTTTTGTGCCCTTGGAAAAGCATTTATTCAAAATCTGGGAAGAGCATGAACATTAAATTTATATAGATCACAATATATTATGCATGTTCTGGATTTTCTGACAAAGAAAGACTCTTTCTGCAAAGAATAACTCATTATAAACTTGAATGTTCATGCACTATACCCGATTTGGGTACATTAAGGACCACTATTATAGTGATCACTTATCAGTATTTTCTGTGGGTGTAACGCTGGTATGCTGAAAGTTTAAAAAAAATTTATTGATTGATTTTAGAGAGAGAAGAAGGGAGAGAGTAACATCGATTCACTGTTTCACTTATTTATGCATTCATTGGTTGACTCTTGTCTGTGCTCTGATCAAGGATCGAACCCACAACCTTGGTGTATCGGGACAACACTCTGACTGAGCCACTCGGCCAGGGTGAAATTTTTCTTAAAAGCCTGATAAACCCTGACAGATTGATGGAGGCAGCCGAAGTACAGGGTTGAGAATCATTTGGGGGTCATGTATAGGCTCATCGAGAAAGAATGTCATGGTCAATCAGAGATGTCAGTCATGGGCACAGGATGGGATCAAGCTGAGGGATGCAGAGATTTGGCTCCTCTCCCAACAGAGCTCAGTCTAGTGGGAGAACAGACAAACAGCTCATTATCCCAGTGTGATATGTGTTCTTGTAAGAAATGCCAGAGAAGCCATGGGAACACAGATTAGAGCAGGGCTGTTAGAGCAGTGGGTCCCCTTTGGGAATTTCCAGTTCTATTTCAGGCTGACGAAAGTGGTGGGTGTAAATAACAAGGTGCAGTCAGGGCCAGATTCTATGTGGGTTTCATGGCCTGTTCAGCTGTTAGGGGTGTTTTCCTGTTGAAAACACCCTCAGTAGGTGTTAGACAATCCAGCAATGTGACTAATATTGGCTGGAGCAGGAGGACCAGTGTGAGCTCCTAAGGGCTGGCCTGGGATGGCGGCAGGGGTGTGGATATCCAGGGGGAGATGGGGAGATTAACCTGCAGTCCAGCCCACAGGACGTGGCGACTTATAGGATATGGGTGTGAAGAAGGGGGATAAAGACAATTCCCAGGTTCCGAGAGACAATGACAGGTTTCTGGCTCGGAGACTGGGTTGGAGGAAGGTGAAATATCTGAGACAATAACCCAGGAGGAGGCACAGCTTTGTGGGCAAAGGACTGCCTGTGATTTGGGGAATACCACGTTTCAGGTATCCGGAGGTGGGGCCTGAAATTCTGCGTGTAATTTGGGCTAGAGGCTGGGGTATGGATCATGCCACATAATTCTGGGGAAACCAGTTAAACGTGCCATCTCATTTCAGCTTGGTTTTCCTAGTAGCCAAGAATAGTATCTATTCTCTACATGACGCATCCCCCCATGGATCTCTGTGACTTGGCCCTGATGATTCCTTCCGCCTGGGAACTTTCCTCCTCTGTGTCTGGTAAAACCTTACTCCTTTTCCAAGCTCTCTCTCCAAAGGTGATGATCCACGGTCACTGTCTGTCTCTGCCTCTAAGCAGAACGAGTGTCTCCCTCACCTGAGTTCCTAGACTTCATTGAGCATCTATTTTGCATGCCAGGGCACGCTCTTTGTAAGTGCATATAACAGTATCTAGGTCAGGGCCTCACAGATCAATATTTGTTTTTTTCAGAGTTGATGCAGACACTGAAGGATTTATAAACCCAGTGCAAGTAACTGTTGGCTCAGAAGCAGACCGGAAGAAGGCCCTTTATGTCATCAGAGACAATGGCCATCAGTGTTGGGAAACCCAAAACTTTCTTAGAGATGCACGCAAACTTCAATATGAGGACATTGCTTAGTGAGACCCATGCAAACAAAGAGACTTCATCACGATGATGGCTGGTTAGATTTAACATTCTATAATGCCATGACCTCAAGAGAGACTCACTAAACGACAAGCAAGGACAAGCATTTTAAAAGTTGGTGATACAAGACATCATTGTACCTAGTGTATTTTTAATTATTGACTCTGTGACAAGTTAACAAATGGCTATGATAAATGAGAATGTCCTATGAGTACCAGGTAATAAACTCAATCCATATTCAAATGATATTCATGGAGCTGTTAATAGTTATTTATACTCCGTCTATAGTATAAAAATGTTAAGCCTCACAAAGAACGCAGTAAAATATATATTGGTATGGAAATTTCCACAATATACTGTTTTATATATTAAATGTTTGAAAAATAGCAGTTATTCCAGGGTTTTAATTTGTGAAGTATGTCTACACATACACAGACATCTATGTAAACAGAAGGGACGTATATATGCTGACAGTGGTCATCTGTCTACGGTGAGGTTACTACAGATAAATTTAATTTTCTGTATTTTGATTCCCTGTATTTTCCAAAAGTTTTCATTTCACTAAATATTTATTTTCTTGATAAACTGAAATAAGGACGACTCCCTGAAGAGCCATGTCTGGCTGTGCTAGGAAACCTCGCAATGATAATCCAGGTTACATTTTTAATTGCTACATTTTCTTACATTCTGCAGACTCATGGCCCCGGGGGGCACGTAGACTTTCTGTGTGACCGGGACTAATATGGCAAAGATGTTGTTCTGTGCAGATGAAGGAACATGAAGAGTGCCGCCCAGACTCAGCCACTTCAGAATGTTAGTACCAAGGGATCCTATTCCGTACTCAAAGGGCTTTACGTCGATAAATGAGATACACGACTGGGTGATGCTTGAAACAAGTGCTGGGCTGAGAGGAGGCAGGTTTATCCCACTATCAGCTGGAAATCACCCGCACACCAAAATCATCTGTTTTCCAATTATATTCATTCATTGAGCAAATACTCTACGAAGCATCTACTGAGTCCCATGCTCCATGTGCCAAGGACACTGTTAGGCAGCAGGTCAGACGTTAGGTGTATAGATAATGGTCTCTGCTCTTGTTCACAAACTGTGTATGGGAGGGAGACAGAAAATCCAAAATGGTAAATGCTCTGGGGATTAGGGGAGAAGAAAAGCCCTGATTGGTGCAGGGACAGGAGGAGGGGATACTTGAGGAGGGTCTTAAAGGAATCCACCCATCGGGGAAGAGGAAGGGCACTCTGGGCAGGGTATATGGCTCAGGCATGTGTCAAGAACGAGAAAAGACATGGAAATCTGCTGGGGGCACTGGAAAGCACAGTAGGAGAGGAAGTTGGAAAGCTGTTTGGGATTTGAGCTTGGTGTCTTGTGGTCCAGTGTCTCCCAATGCTTTTCCCATGGAGACTCACATAGCATATTAAATGTATATATTTGTATAGCACTGTAAGTGAACTGAAGGGCACTCGCAGTGAAGTGACCATTCATCTGCTCAGCTCCTCTATAGGCTGAGGGTATCAGCACCTCCATGCTCCTGCTATGCCTTTGAGGTTGCATGGTAAGCATCTAAAACAGATTGGACTTCTTCTCCTGTGAAGAGAGCTGCCAGGATGGGGCTTGTATCCTGGAGAGGTCATTCTTAGTGGGGGATGGAGGAGAAAAAGAAGCAAGGTCTCCTTGGCAACATTCATGACCTCTTATTGGAAAGCACGTTTTATAACTATTCTTACATCGATCTTGGACGTCTTGCAGAAAGCTCCCACAGGGTGGACGTGGTCGTAGAGGATGATGACCCCCACCATCACCCTCATGCAGAACATCAGCGTTTCTTCGCTCGTAAACCTACTCCTGTACTCCCTGAGAGAGAGGAAACGGCAGTGAGGTTACTTCCTGGCCCAAGGATGCTCATTTCTGGCTCCACACTGGCTGCTTTAGACTCTTCCAACCCTCTCTGGAGAACAATCCCAGACCTGCACCAACCAGGTTAATATGCTCTTCTAGAAACCCATGATGATAATTCTCCTTGAATCTATCCAACCAGCAATTCAGTGTGAAAATAAGCTAAATTAGAGGGCAGTCAACTCCCTCCTCGTCTGCCCTTCAGTGAGCCAGCTCATCGCGTACATCACTCCCCACCCATCAATCTTGAATGTTTTATAGTAGTTCCCTCTGGCTGTCCAAGATTATAGAGAATAATAGCTTCATTATAGAGAAAAAGAATCAAGCTCATTTCCACAGAGCAGCTATCATGTCTCCAGTCAGGGTAACTTCCTTTGTTAAGTTACAGGCTGAAGACTGAATTAAATTGTGGAAAATACCTAAAAGAAATGACGTACCATTCATCGGGCTGAGAGTATTCATGAAGTTTGAATTTTGTTCACTTACCCTAACAGGATCTCTGATAATTCAGACAATTCAGGCCAATGCTAGAGACTCTCTTAATATTTATTTCATTATGAATTGGCCTCTCAATGAAGATGATTACTGTTTTTTTTGTCTTGCAATAAATACTGAGTTTGGTATAAGCAAAATATTTGAAATTGATGTCATCTTACAGTTGAACAGAACATCAAATTTTAGAAGGCATTTTTGATCCCTCTGGCCTCCCCCAAACTCTGCAACTTACACAGCATCATGAGAACGTCATCATATGAGGAAACCAGGGCCCAGGCAGTTCAGACCACTTGTCTATGGGCCCAGAAATGGCTACAGATATAAGTGGAATCCTGCCTTTTGAATGTGGATTTCCTCATTGCCATTTTGCCTCATCCTTGATAATCTTGACCATTTTTTAAATCTAACAACTGACAGCACTATGATTAGCTAGTTATTAATAATAGGAAAGAAGCAAAGGGAAGGCCAGACATTATAGGCATGTTATTTGGGCAGCTTCACCAGGAAGCTGCAATTTCACACTCCTCAGGGGACACCGGTCTATTCCCTGCAAAACACTGGGGGAAGGAATCCAACAAAGGGAATAAAGATGCCCGCCCAGTAAAGCTGGGGAGACTAGAGAAGGTACTTGCCTGTCAATCAAACCTGGGGACAGAGATGGCTGGCCAGAATGAGTGTGGCCAGTGCAGAGGATTGGGAATACATAATCCTCTAAACAAAGGAGTTCTCTCTCATTGCTCTTGTTGTGTTTGACTCTTGGCTCTCCGGCATTGGCCCCTTATGGCCCACAGCTGTGCAAACCCCACGCATAATGGACTAAATTGACTGCAGTAGGAAACACAAGCTAAGCTAGCCTGATGCTGTATTGGACATGGCTCCAACATAGAAAGGAAACTCCGTACACTGGCTCTGATTTTAGCTCTACTGAAGCCCCAGCTACACTTCTAGGACTGGACAAAGGGAAATGGGACTTTGGAAACTCAGGGATTTAATTCCATGAAAATAAAAATCACTCGCTCTCCTGTGTGAGTCTCAGAAAATTCCTTTTCTCGGGATACTGCAAGAACCCCACTCCCAGCAGCAAGGGGGGGAGAAGAGCCCCAATTAACACAATCAATTTAAATATAAAGAAACTGCTGAGAGAGAGAGAGAGACAGAGATTCATTATCACTCTTGCAAGTTTTACCACCTCTCTTGGTTCTAAATCTTCTCTCAAATCTTTTCTCCAATATATTTAAAGTAACATCCAGTCATTTCACCCATTCTTCCGCCTGATTCCCATACAATTTCTATAGCATCTTTGACCAGGTTTTGTTTCTGCCATCTCACAAGCTGTGCAATCTTTGGAAAGTCAGCCTCAGCTTCTTCAGCTCTAAAATGGGCTAACTACGCCTACTACCCAGAGTTTTTTATGAAATTAATTCAGATAAAAGATGTGTAAACGGTCACGTGCTGACCCAATGGTTAGAGGCCAGCATCATTATATCAACAGGCTCTGCCTAGGTGAGCTCGCGACCACGAATACACCTCTGACGTCACTTACGGCGTTTCCAACATGACTTTACAGACACTCGTCATCGTACTGAGGCAGTCCGTGGTGTTCTCTATTGGGAGGGTCTTGTTCTAAATGGGAGACACAAATGGATGTTAGCCCAGCTAGCAGCTTTTCCACACACCTGAGAAAAAGGTACCTCATTGCCGAACTCCACTTACTTCGGAGACAAAGTGCATTGTGGCATTGCTGAGGGTTTTCAGCATCGGCGTGGCTTCTGCATAGAAGAGGGACATTCGATTGGCCATCTCATTATTGACCTCATTCTCAATGTCTAGCTGATGAAAATAAGAAGAGAAGATGGAATTGATATAGAGATGGTAAAAATCCCGCAACAACGTCCTCTGGAAACTGAATTACAGACGAGACCGTCTTCTCCCTGTGCCTGATGCATCAAAAGAGACTTGGAGATCGGGGGTCTGGACCCAGGAGATCCGGGGACTCACGTGCATGTTGTTGATGCGATTGCGGCTTATTGTCCTCCTGTAGTAGCTGAAGTCGTTCTGAATAGCTGGGTTCCTCATCTGAAATTCAGAAGAAAGGGAAGAAGGTCTTCTCTCAGCATCAGACGGGGAATACGCACTGGGAGCCCAGCCCTGGGCTTGTAAACACACCAGGACTTCTCTTTGTTACACAAGAGTCAAAGTAACTTCTGGTTAAAAGTAAGTACTCGGATCTTCATTATTTAAAAATATGCCTGGCCTGGCCGGTGTGGCTCAGTGGATTGAGCAACAGCCCATGGACTGAGAGGTCCTGGTTCAACTCCTGGTCAGGGCACATGCCTGGGTACGGGGCTCAATCCCCAGTGGGAAGCGTGCAGGAGACAGCCGATGGATGTTTCTCTCTTACACCGATGTTTCTCTCTCTTTCTCCCTTCCCCTCTCTCTAAAAAGTCAATAAAACATATCTTAAAAAATAAAATAAAAATATGCCCCGTTTTTACTGTAGACTAGACTTCAGGGAAACAATATTTGTTCTCAATGGGGAACAGATATTCGAAAGGTTTTCCCTTATTGCATTAAGCAGATTTTGAGTTTTCATATGAAAACCACCCTCTTAAGTCCCTTTTACCACATTCTATGCCTCTCTAGGGAAGGAGCTACATCTCACTCTAGTCCCCCACCCCAAGCACTGCACAGGACCTGTGCACTGTAGGTACTCAGGACAAGTGTGTGAAGTTGTCAAAAACAAGGGGCCTAACCTTCAGCTCATCGAATCGAAGGGTAAAATGCAGAATTTCCGCAAACTCCTTTGCCAGGGCCTGCTCCCGCTCCAGGTGTTGGGTTGGCGTGTAGGGGGGACAGGTCAGAGATTCTAATAAACTCTGAAGTGCTTTTTCTGAAAGTCAAAGGGATAAATACACAGGTGAGGTGGCCTTCAGAGATCCTTCGCAAAGCAGCATCTGCAGCCCCCGTTGACATTCTGCTGGGTCTTTCCTCCCCCCGTGTTCCCCTGTGACCAGGTAACAGGATGTGTGGACAGGAAGCGAAGGGGCCCGAGCTGAGCAGGCTGCCTCCACTGCAGAAGCCCCGCCCCCACGCCGCACGGTACAGTCCACGTCTCTCCACACCTTTCGGGAGTGCCGGCTGCCAACAGTGCTGCAAAACCTAAACGCATGTGTTGGGGCCACGTGCATGAGGCAGCCAGTCATGATCCAGGATGAGACGAGGTGGCCCTGAACACATGGTCAGACAACCGCTCTGCAGGGACAGACCCCGGGTTCCCTGGCAGCTGTCCTCTGCACCTACAGCCTCCAAATCCCAGCAATACTTTTCTACCCACCCACTGCCACATCTACCCCCACACTGCCCTTGAAACAGTCCTGTTACAGACGCTTGTCTGTTTCTCAACATTCGCTCAGCTTTCACTTCAGTGTATTTCTAACACCTGAGTCCTTTAATCAATCCTCTGCATCAGGGTTTAGCAAACTGTGTTCCCCAGGCCCAAGGTGACCCGTTTTTATTTAAAAGTTAAGTTGTAGGGAGGCTAAATGGAAATGTGTATAAAATTCTTTAGTATATATATATATATATATATATAAAGTTTCAATAAAGTTTTATTTAAAACTTTTCAATAAAGTTTTATTTAAAAATAGCCACACTCATTCCTCTACACCTCGGCTATGGTTACTTTTGTGCGACAATGGCGGAGTTGATTGGTTGTAACAAAGGCAGGGTGGTCCACACGCCTAAAATATATATGATCTGGTTCTTTACAGAAATGTGGCCAGCACCTGCTCCATAGTCCTTAAATGTCCTTCAGCAGTTTCACAAGGGCGTTTCTAGCCTTTTCCATCTCCAGGAATGCACTGTCTTCTCGGGCCGCTGGTTCTACCGTGACCTGCTCTGGCAGGTGGACCTTTTTCCTTCTGTTGAGCTGCAATGTGGCTCCTGAGCGTTTCCGTTTCCTGGGTCTAGACATCAACTTTTGAGGAAACAGAATCTGATCTCTCATCAACCCGAGAGTTTTCAAAAGCTCTCTCATCCTCAAAAACTGGTTCAGTTCATTCAACTACTCCTTGTGGGTCTTAGCTTCATGGTCCCTCAACATCATGGCTATTCTTCTTCTCAGTTTCTCTGTTTTTCTCTTAAAATGTAGCATTCATTTGTGGCAAAAGTTCTAGATAAATTGGCTAATAAAGCCTCCTCTTTACTGTTGAGGGGAGTAGTCACGTCAGACCGGCGGCCACACTGAGCCTCCTGTCCAGCAGACCTGACTTTTCTCTTGCTTCTGCAAAGCCATCCTGCACCTGTACAGGGCTTTGTTTGTTTTCCTTGTATTTTAATGTATTACATTTATTACATGACTCCGCTCAACTAAGTTCTTCTTGGGTTAGCAGGTCAAGAAGTTGTATCTCCCAACTTCTCTATCATCCAGAAATGTGATCAGCCCACAGTGAAACTGTTAAGACTCAGATTCAGCTGAGAATAAGACCAAAGGGACTACCGGTAGAGACACTCCCACATGCCAAGAAATTCAGGAGAAGAGACACTGAGATGAATTGAAAGACATGGAAACGACAGGCGTTGTCCATGAACGACCTCTGGTAGGTGTGTGTGTGGTAAGACACCGCGGATAGACGTGGGCATTTCCTAAGGCACTGAGCTCTTCCCGTGACTTTCACCCACACCCCAATAGAACTTCGCATGTGGGACATGAAAACTATAGACCCAAACTCACCTAGCCTTATGGAAAACTCATAAAACCTCTTTAGCCTCACAACCAGAGGACACACTGCGTTCCAAGCTTTTTCTTGAAGCTGGATGTCATTGGGGTTTTGAATTGCCTATGAAAAAAAAAATCACAGAACTGTTTAGAAAGAAGCAATAAGCTCCACATCAAAATGACTTAAGATTGAGAGAGGATATAAATTTTAAAGAACACAATTTCTGAGGTCCTTTGCTAATGTGTACTTGCTAAATTAACATCAGTTCATAGGACTGTCCTCTAAGACGCTCAGTCAGAATGGTGATTTTAGCACTTGCACGTAATGCGAAGAACCCTACAATGAGATCCTGTGTCAACTCACTTGTTTCTATTATCATCTTAGATGTAAAAAATGCACATCTAATTGGAAGCAACCCTCTCCATCACCTTCTAAGGTAAAGCTGGTGCTCACTGCGGAATGGAAATTCTGTACATCTTTTCTTTTCTCTGTAATAGGTATTACAATCCTGCCAGTCTGTGATGTTACCTAAATTACGTAAATTAATGGTGAACCCCTAAGTAGAAAAACAACCTTTTAACAGGCTGTTACTTTCTTAGAAATTCTGTTTTGTCTGGGTTTCAGCAGCTGGAGAATTGTGATGTTAGCAGTGTTTTTTTCCAGAACAATTTTGGCAGTGACAGTAGGGGTGTGCGTGTATGTGCGCGCGCGCACACATGTGTGTATGCATGGATGCTTCCACAAAACTAATTACTTCAAATAAGAAAGGTGAGAAGTTTCTTGCCTTTAAGGCATTTTGAAGCCTCAAAAGCCACACTGACAATTCCCTTCTGCTTCAGTGGGGGTGATGTTTTTCATGCATGTACTTATTTTAAATCGCCGAAGTCAGTTCCAAATGACAGACCTGCAGGCTCCTTCCAGGGAGCGAGTTTAGGACCGTTGTTTGTGCTGCTGGTGGAAGCTGCCCGAATTATTGCAAAATGTTGGAAAGTTCATGTCAACCCAGACCCCGTGACTCACATTTCAACTGTTGTTCCTGGACTTTATATGGACGTTCCCCTCAAACGAAGTAATAGACTGACAAATTATTGTTTAAACGGGAGTCCTGCACTATCACGTGTACGTCTGAGAAGAGAATGGCTAACGTTTCACATGGTCTACAGCAGTGTGCATCGGATTAATGTCCCCGAATGAAAGGGGCCATTCATACATTTTTAAAAGGACACATTATCATCCTTGTTCTTCCTACTACACTAGGAAACGCTAGTCTGTTACTTAATCTTGCTGTGTGTGTGGGGGGGGGGGGGTGTGGTTCCCCTCTCCTCCGAGGGTGCTGTCAGCTCAGTATTGTCATTGGCATACGTCTCGGATCTCGGGCCCCGCGCCCTTGTACGCCTGCAGGTCCGCGAGGATGCTCTCGGAGTCTTGGAGGACGGCACTGATCTGGTTCCATATCTCCCTCTCTCCCTCTGTGGGCTGGGCATCTGTCGGAAGGGAACAGAGACAGAGGCTTGTGTTTACAAACAGCCGGCGAAGAAGAGCAGCGTGATCCTACCTGCCAGACTGCCCGTTATTCCCGCGGGCTCGGTATTTACTCTTTAGTATAATAAGCTACTGGGAAGGAAAGGTTAACACGACTTCAGTCCATGACTCGGTGCAGAATACTCATCCGTTTATCTGCACACATGAAACCAAGCATGTGGGAATCATCATGGGTGCTCCTCTCCTTGGTGAGCACAGCGTCTGCACACCCACTATGTGTAAGAAGGTACACGCATTGTCTTTTTGAGTCTACTTTATCTTATTTTCCATTTTGATTAAAAATCTGTGAAATCTGAGTATAGATGGGGAAAAAAGTCCCCCTCTATATAAAAATAAGTGTACAAGATTAGGTAAGTATCCCTCAGTGCTATGAGAGAGGATTCTTTCCAGAACACAGTACAATGTAGAAAGCACTGAGAATTCCCATGAAACAAGACGCCTGTATTGCCCAGCCAGTGTGGCTCAGTGGTTGAGCATCGACCCATGCACCAAGAGGTCGCCGGTTCAATTCCCAGTCAGGGCACATACCCAGGTTGTGGGCCTGATCCCCAGCGGGGGGCATGCAGGAGGCGGCCAATCGATGTTCTCTCTCATCCATGTCTCAATCTCTCTCTCTCTTCCTCTCTCTAAAATCAATAAAGGAAAAAGAAATAAAGACACCTGTACTGTTCACCTTTGGTCTTGACTGTGAATGTTACCCATGAAAACGGCTGACATAGCTTACATAAAGAAAGAAGGTATTCTGACAGTCGCAGAATCATCCCCTTAGCTCCCCGGCGAATCTCCACTTGACTAAACCCTGGAGCCAACATGTGCTCTGGCCCCAGAAGCCGTGTGTGCAGGCTGGCGGGTGAGAGCCCAGCGATGGTCAAGACTGGGTTTCACTCACCCCCCGATACCTGTAAAACGGATTCTTTGCCTGGGCTCGTAAGAACATGACTCTCCATCTAAAACAAAGGCGGCGCTAATGAAAAGAGACAGATGTCAGTTCCCAAAACTCTGTTTTCAAAAATCTAAGTCCTAAGGCACGAAATTCTTCCCGAAGACCTCATCAATAAAAGGGGTGGACAGAGTTACGCTTGGTCTAACCCTGGATCAAATCCCACTTTTGATTAATCATGTTGGAAGCACAAAGGGTTGATCTGCGAAATGTAACACTTCACAGTATTACTCGGGGTATAGAGCAGATTTCACAAGACAGGCGATACCTAAGCGAGGCCCTGACCACGCTGACCGGGCCTTGGAAAGGCTGAGTACCGGAGTAGGGGTTCGGCCAACGCGGTTGCTCCTGCCAAGTACCCATCTGCCGGACCTACACGAACCTAAGGCCAGGCCCTTGGGCAGTAATGGCCTTGGGGATTTTTAGACCTTTACCTACCAGGTCCTGCTAAGACCCCAGAAACTTGTAGCGTTATCTGGGAAACAAAGGATGTAATTCTTTTTAGAAAAACAAAAACAAAAACAATGACCCTGGAGATTATCCAGACACTTGGCAAACTGCACTCCTAGGAATGGGAGGGACTTCAGCCAGGGAGTGAGGAGGACTGGTACATGCTCCCCGGCTTTGGCTTCAGCGGAGAGCAGTGGGTGGGGGCGGGGCAGCGGAATCCACCCAGTGTAAGGGGCGGGACTGAGCGGGGAAGGGAGGGGAGGGCGGTGTATCCACGGTCAGCTGAGAACAGGGGCGGCTGGGAGAGAGCAGGGACCGGCCAGGTTAGAGGGCGGGTGTGGGCTCAGAAACGGGAAAGAACGCGTCGCCCCTTTATCGTTTGAGACCTTTCACGCTTTCCCACAAGCACTTGGCAAGTTTGCTCAGGCACATTGTTATCCGCAACACTGACCACTTTACCGTTGATCGTTTCCTGCTTTTCCAAACTTTTCTCAAAGCGACAAGGGTGTCTTAAGACAGAAACATCGAACCTCACAGGCCAAGGAGCCCACAGCGGAGAAAGCATTTCGGGGGGACAGGTTCCAGGGCCGCGCTGACATGGAGAGCAAAGGACAAAAATGCTCAGCAAAGATCCCAGAAAACAAAAAAATCCCAACACTCCAACCCTTTCCCCTTTTGATGAATGTATGGGGGGGGGGGGATCATCACAGGCAAAACAAAGACAATTTTCTTAAAGAGACATATCTCTGAAGAGGAGAAAATGAACAATCGAGTCTGTGACCAGGATTCTCAGGGGTCCGTCTTTTTGAACATAATTACAAAGCAGGTGTGAACGGAGCGGGCACTCGGAAACCAGAGGATGAGGCCTCCGGACCCTGGCGGTCACTTGGCTCTGCCTTGGCAAGCCACCACCTGATCATTGTTCCACAAAGCAGAATTCAAGCTGAGTGGGCTGGAAGAGGACCTGCTGGAAAAACAAACTCCCCAAATCCATCCTTTTGATGATTACTGAAACGCAACAGGAGAAAGATGTCTAAGTCAGTTTTTAAAAATAGAGGTCTTAAGTACTTCCAAAATAAGGCAGTTTCTGACAAGGGGCCTAAAAGTAGTACTGGCTAGAGATGAGCGAGACCCTCTCTGCGCCCCGGTGAAGGGACCCTTTCTGATACACATCAACGCGGACGCTGAGGCGAGCACGGAGCGCTGGGCAGAAGGCTCGGGGCGGTGGCCGGTGGAGGGCCGAGGGGAGAACGCCCACCGCAGTCACTGTGCCCTGCCACCAAACGGTCTGGGAAACAGGACCGCGGTCCCCAGCCTCCGTCTCTGGGAGAATGTTTCTTTTGGCCGAGAGCCTAGCGTCCTGTTTGAAATGTGTCCTGCGGCCCGGTGAGCAGCGGTGGGAGGGAGAAATCCAATCCGCCCCTCCTTCTTACATGCCGACTTAGAAATGGGTTGGCTCATTTTCCTCCACAATTTGTTGGTGGTATTGCATGCTCTAGTTCCCACTACTTCCCCTGCGATGGAGCTGAGTCACCTCTTCCACCAGCTAATAACTAGGTCCTTGGTGCCAGCAGTGTGGTCCCTGCCTTCTGGGTTTGTAAGATTCTCAGATCCAAACCCCACGTGGCATCAGTTTTCAAGGTAAAGACTGCTCGCGGGGGGAAGCTCCCACCTGCCTGCTTCTCCTTTCAAATGGTAAAAGGACTAAGTGACATTGGTAGAGGCCCATGTCCCTGCAGAAGTCTACAATTCATCCTGTTTTTATCCTCCAGCTAAAAGATCAATCAGGACTGATTAATAAGAATCTGATCTGTTAGACCGTAGGACTCCGCCTTGGTTCATTTGACATCGTAACTCTAGGGCCTAGCAAGCGGCTGACACGTGGTAGATGCTCAAAAATAAATAAATAAAAATAAAAATTGCTGAATGACTAGTTGACTGAATGACTTAAATATATTTCCCATACGATGTTTCGTGCTGATTTTCCTGCGTGTCTGAATTCTGTGGTCTGTGGAGACGAAGTTGGTTTTTGTCCTCAGTGCTCCGTGTACTCGACCGACTGAAGACTCAATACACCTGCCGTGAATCAATGGAGAAGGGAGGCCACTGGCCAGGTGGCAGAGGATGTGGGTGTTAGGAGGCAGTGAAAAAAGTCCTATTACTTCTAGATGCTCCTTTCTGTCTCTTCTCCTCAAATGGCTCTTATTTTGCACTTGGCCATTAAGATATATGCATTTTCTTAAAATCAAATTAGCTGTTCACACTTGAATTAAGATGTGTGGTTTTAAATCACCCATCATTTATTTATGGCCTCAATGTCTTCTCAGTGTAGTTAACACACTAATAGGATATTTGTTGAGTGGAAAACTGCAATTATGCGTACTCTCCCAATCTGAAGGCTCTTATCATTTTGCTTTCTGGAATAATCCTGAGAGGCTTGGGGGTTTATACTTTTGGTATGCTCCCTATTGGTAACCATATTTTAAAAATTTACTGTGTCTGCAGATGTCAAGGAGAGACATCTTGAAAAGACCTTGAAGCAATAGTGATGGAAAAGGTTATTATATTTAACCTATCAGCAACCTCCCAAAGCATTTGCAGAGTCAACACAAACTCTGAATTTCAGGCTTTGTTTTTCTATTTTACCACAAAGATAGTCCTTTAGTCAAAGGCCCACACATTTAACAATGCCCACCAATAATATTACTGACGGAAATAGTTGTTTTTTTTTTCTGTTGCAGCAGTGAATTCTTTGGTGATGTTTCTCTAAGAATCACATTCTAAACTTCTAATCATCACCAATGATTTCATCGAAACGGAGGAGAATGGTTACATAAAGCTGGGCTGCTCCCGTCTAACAATGAAGCTGTTAAAAATCCCTGTGATTTACACAGGCAATTTCAGAAACCAATACCCTAGGCGCCTTGGAACCAGCCCATCCCGGCCATTGCCCAGGCGGTGATTTAAGCTGCTGTCCTGCACTTGCTATTGTGGAAAGTGTGGAGACGTATCATATGCTCTGTGACCTTGAATACATGGATTCATTGTCAAGAACGCACTGAATGCCAAGTGCCTGAAATTTTTAATGGAAAAAATCCCCCCGGCAATTAGGAGAGTTAACCTGGTGTTCTTTGCATTTGCAGGGGACCTATTTATCCTTCCTCAGCTCAGTGTGCCAGGGACAGTGCATAGTGACTATCAGCATCTTGGTGTCACCGGGTCAGGACTAGGCTATTTACTGACAGCAGGATGCCTGGCATTCCACAGAGGGGACGGGGAGGAAGGTGGCTGTGTGTTTTGTTTGTCAGGAATGAACATCTTAGGTGAACATGCCCAAGGGCGGGACAGCAGGGCTCAGCCCAGAGCTGGGCTGTCACATCAAAGGCTTCTTATCTTGGTAAATTAGGCAAGGATCACCCTGTCTTCACAAGCAGCGGGAACACACATACATACCTTCTCCTAACAATCTACGTGGGACCCATAGAAACTCTGACAGAGAATCAAACAAGTTAGCCAAAGATAACACGAGGAGAAGACACAATCGACTTGGAG